GTGGTTATAGGATTGAACGCCTGCGAAATATTTTTGAAGTGCTCAACTACACTCATCCAAACACTCTGAAAGTTGAAATATTTTCCGACTACTTATGCATGGAGGATGAGGAAAAGTTTATTGTCACGAAAGATAGCGTTTTTGGTTGGTGAAATAGATTTATCAATCTATTCATTTTCTCAGGTCTATTTTTGCGCAAGTTCGCTTTGGGTTTTCATCACCTGAGTTTCGAAGAGATGATACGATTCATGGATTTGTTTTTTGATGCATACGACACGATTGTACAAAATAGCCCACCGGAAACCAAGTGTAGGATGACAGAAAAATTCCACTTTGATGCCCCATCTGCTCTTTCAACGTGAGTTATCTAAATGTCCCGCGTGATTTGGATTTTTCAGGCGCAAACACGCTTACGAGGCCTCAACAAAGATTGTCAACAGTATCGGACAGCTAGGTGGTCGACCGCAGGCAGATGTAAAAAAGTTTGACGAAATTCTCACCATGTCGAAAAATTTGTTCCCAGATTTACCGGCACCGGTTAGTTTACCTTGGTGATTGATCTGTTGTGAAATTGGTTTAGTTCGGTCCGTCACCAACAGATTTTGGTTCATCCATTTCAGTTTTTGCAATCATTCACCATGAATTTCATACGCCGGTTTTGGTTTTTGTCTCGTGACTTTCCATTTGGTAAAAATGCAGAATGGAGAGTAGAATGTCGCGATCGGAGTCAACGAGAAGACGAAATTAATATGGAATGGGGTTGTAAGACCAAGTCCATGTACCGTGAAGCAGAACTGGTCGAACTTCGCAACATATACTCGTCCCTTAACAGACAGCCGGATGTCGCGACGGTACCACAGATATCCCAAGTTAGTAATTGCCAATTGAGCCTTCTATATGCTAGCTGAAACTTCATCCGTGAAACGTTCACCAGGTGAGATGTAGCCACCCAAATAACAAAACTTATCCACTTGTTCTATTACTTCCCCAGTTGGTGTGAGGCTGGGTGCTAGACTAACCCAATCTTGTAGTAACATTTTACACTTTGAAGGTGCAAAACGCAAGCCGAATATGGCTACACTAGCATTCAAGTTATCCAGAAATGCTTGTAACTTACCTGGATCTTCACTTAATAGCACAATGTCGTCTGCATACTCTAGATCAGACAGCCTGTCACTTGGGAGTAAATTGATGCCACTATCCTCGCTCGAGGACAAGACTTTTTCCATAAGCAAATCTATAACAGTGAAATAAGAAGGGACAAAGGGAAACCCTGTCGAACACCACTTTCCGTGGTGAACTCGAGTGGAAAAGTGCCGTAATCTCGGATTCAACTTTGGCTATGAGTAAAAAGGGATTGTAATATTGAGATTAAATTCTCGGGCACCTTTCAGAAATAGGCAGCGCCAGAGTTTAGAGCGGTCGACTGAGTCACAAGCCGCTTTCAGATCTAGGAAGACAGAGGTGGTAGGTCTACGAAAAGAATGCCGGTGCTCCAGAATTTGGCGCAGAGTGAAGATGTGGTCGATACAACCTTGACCAGGTCTAAGGCTAGCCAGGGTCTCACGCGTGCACCGTTCACGTGCGGAAAACAATCGACGGAGTATGATACCAGCGAGAAGTTTGGAGATGATGTTGGTTAAACTAATTCCTCTGTGGTTTTCACAAGAGGATCTGTCACCTTTCTTGTAAATCGGTATGATGACCGATTCACACCATTCAGTTGGGACCTGTTTGCTCTCCCATATTGACTCCAGAAGTGTTAACAGCTCCAAGACTAGCGCTGAACCTTCATCCTTAAACGCCGATGAAAGCAGTCCATCTGGGCCGGAGGCCTTATGCCTTTTGAGGTAGCTTATTTCCTGGGAAACCTCCATTTCAGGTGGAGGACTAGCATCAAATCGGAGTATTTGTCCAGTCGAGGTGGAGAGTGAAAGGTAAGATGTCGATGGGGACCAGTTGAACTGAGCCTTAAAATGTTCAGCCCATCGATCAAGACAGTGTTGCTGATCGTGAATCAGCGTGCCATTGGATTCCTTAATTACCTCACTTACGCCTGTTTTCCTAGGACCCGTATTCCTAATTAGATGGGAAAGGTTACGATTATTTCCAATAGTCGCAGCTTTTTCCATCCCTCTACACTTTCCTATCCACCACTTCTCACGGTCATTCCTTAGACTCTTGGTGAGCTGGCGTTTGATGGATTTGCGCGCTGTGTCGTATGTGGCATCGGGAGGGAGGGTTCTGCGGGAGTCCAGCAAGGTAGGCGCGATTGTCGAGATCCATTGTATCAGTTATGAGCCTGCTCCAGAGTTCGCCAGTGTTTTTATCGACTTTTGCATAGTTTCCAGTGTTCATTGAGTCCTTCGGTTGGTGTTTGAACTGATAGGCAATCAGAGAACTAGTCTTCGAATGTCAGTTTGCCGTGGGTAGGAAAATAATGCTTACTTTACGATCGTTCAGCTGTTTTCTGTCGAGTCTCTTCAGCATTATACTACATACCGGAATAATTTATTTCATTAGCTGGGAGCCAACTATTGTACCACCAGATAATTGGGCACTATTCTATGGGCTCTTTATGTGTTTTGCATGCTGATTAAATTACATGACATTTCTCATGTTGTATTCAGTACTACGCGGCTCATCTGCTTGCTACTCGCAAGCGTAATCTGACTGAAGCCGAATCGAATCTACATGCTTACGTGGAAACTCGAATGGCAGCAGGCGGTCTGGATAAGAGTATGAGCAACACATGCGCGTATTTGTCGATTGCAGCGGCAGCGATGCACTTATCATTCGGTCAGTGGTAAGTGCCGGAAATCTCGTTGTTGTTTATGCTTATTTACGCGTTTTCGGATTTTCACACTTTTCTTCAGCTGCTATCACGCGTGTTATAATTCCACAAGGCGTTGCTGGGACGAGGATAGTTAGTTACTATGAACGACGGTCAGGGTATCGGTAAAGTAGCGTGCATACACCAAAATGTCTAATTTGCAACAAGTCTTTAGAAGTCCCATAAGCACACAGGTTACTTAGTGGAGTGGTCCGACGGTGTATGCGCATTTCCCGTAGTTACCATTTTGAACACAGTGATTCGCACCAAGAGATCACTGGCACGATAGGGCATCAATGTGTATTGGGCACCTTGGACGTTTAACCCTACCCAAAGGGTGTATGATCCAATAAAATGGACACCGAACTCTGAGCCTCGTCCTGTTGTTTTGCAGGTTTGACTTTCTAGCTAAAGGCTTCGGATGGAAACCCCGAGGTAACCCCCCCCCCTCGGTCAGGGCAACCGGTAAGTAATATGCCCACACAACCTATGGACACGATCTACAGACTTTTTATTCATATGTCTTGGCACATTTGCCAGTTCTCTTTAATTGGTTATGTGTTGAAATAATAATGTTGACAATAACAAAACACAAGTTACCTCAGCACTCGCCACTACAGTATGATGCAATGCAATTACTCCACCCTAATTGCGGGAGAAGATTGATGGATGTGATCAACGCTTTCTGGACCGAGACCTGCGGGGCAAGTTTTACACGTGTAACGAAACAGCCGAGACAATTCCTCGGTTGAGCGTAATCAGCTACGGTGTACCTGGTAGAACAACAGTGCGTCTTTTGAGTAGTAGAGCACGTGTAGACGGAATGTTACCACACAAGTATTTCGTAATGTGGAGCACTACCGGTAGCAGATTGTGAAAAGGGTTGACACGTCATTCAGTCCCGGAAACATCTGAAATAGGATTTTTTCAGTTTTCCATTTCTATCAT